GGGGTAGTGTGTGTCTGGCTGTTTTGTGTTAACTAGACCGCTTAAGAGCCCAAGCCCTTTCAAAATTCGGGCAAATAGAAACTCTGTTAAATAAATAATTTTATGCAAATGAGCTTTATCCACGATTTCGTTTCCGTGATATATTCTTCAGCTTTAAATGTTTTAATGCAGCTTTACACTCTCCTAAATATATTTTAAAAACTGTTCAACATCCCTTTTTGGTTATTATTAAACATTCAAAGTTTCGCATGCTTTTCCAAGGAAGTGAGGGCGCTGTTGCTACGATATCATTAAGCTCCCGGTCATGATGTACAGGGGTTTCCATGCTTACTGTTGACGCAAAATATGTCAAGCATACCATTAATCAACCACAGGGCCAATGACAGTAATTATTGTAATGGGGAGGGGCTTTGTTTGAAAATGTGTCTTTAAAAGAAATCTATTTGAAAAAGAGTGGGTTTTTTTACCATACAGGAAAGTTGAGGGCCCTTTCCCGAAAAGCCTGGAAAATGTTTTGAACTTTCCGGGGAAAAAGAAATTTCCTGTTGAATGGACAAACTCCATGACTTTATTTCATCTCGAGACAATTTTCCAAACTTCTTTCATAGATAAGCCAGAAATCTGACAAAATTAAAGAAAGTCTATCATGTGTGTTCTGGGACTTTCGTCTTGAAGATGGAATCGGTGATTGGTCGACAGCGGGCTGCAAACAAGCCCGCTCGGGTGACGGACGGACGGCGTGTCATTGCAACCTCGCTACCAGCTTTGCCGTACTTGTGGTAAAGTATAAAAAAAATAATCACCTTGTTTTTTAAATTGTTGTGTTTCACTGACGAGCCTTAATACCCCCCAAAATGTGAAGATGCTTGTCAAAAGGGGCGTCTGAAATTTATAGTTTCGAAATTAATTTTATCCACAAAGTCTTTAAAATCCCAAGAATTAAACAAAATCAGTTTCTCCTAATCCTTGCAATTCATGATTGAGATTGTTTCAGTAGGTTAAGATACGAAACAACTGAGAGTGTCTCTGTTTTTCTTTTAGGATATTCACGGTCAATACTCCAGCTTAGCCTTGGATCTAATAAGTAAAATCGGATGCGGTGTTTCCATTGTCTCCCTTGTGGTTACTATCGTCGTGTATCTGGCTGTCAAGTAAGTTTGATGCACAATCGTCAATTTCTGCAATTTTCAACAACACATAATTACTGAAAAAATAGAATGCCAAGGAATGATTTCTCTATTGGTAATACAACAAATACTTGACTAATGAGATGGAAAAGCTCAGTCAGTTGTGATTTAGCAGCAGTGGCGGCTTTAAAATGCTTAGGGAATTTCCACTTTAATTTTGTCAAGCGTTTCCAAAATCAAAACGGAAATTTAGAAAACATTGAAAGAATTTTTAAATTCAATTTTGTAGATTTCTCTTCAGCTTTCCAGCTAAAGGTAGCCCTAAATTTTCTGGAGGAGCGTTGCTGGTTTTAATGCCAATGTGTGTTTCCATATTCATATCCAACAAATCCTTGACATAGTACAGCAACTGCGTCTGTTAGTCTTGGTATGCTAGTATTTAGTATCCATATTCATGATATTCATGAATTAATTTGTTTACTAAGCAGAAGTTTCTGTGCTGCAACTGGTTCAGCATAATTTGTTGAAGCTTAGCGCATTTTCTGTAGTGTTTCATTGTTTAGTCAATGCAGGACAGCAAATCAATGAGCAACATCACGCAAATTATTTTCAATGGCCCGTAGAAACCTGTACGCGCCTCTAGTGGTGACGTCAC